ATCCTAACCAGCAAATTCATATAAGAATTATTAAGTTGAAGAAGCAAGTGTATTATTGTTATCCTATCAGCTTAAAAATGTTTTCATTAAAATAGCTCAGAAGCTATATCTTGCATGATAGACTTGGATACTAATATGACTAGATTTAGAAGCTCATCTTCTCTGGCCATTGAAATGGCTTTCTAATGCAAGACACTGTTGTTTCGTATAATTAGCAAACATTTTTGTGTGGAGAAAAGAAATTGAGTATGCTATAGATGAAGTGTATTCCCCCATTTCTTTTAAGGTGATAATAGTACTAGTGATTTATCTAAATGTAATAGCCTGAATACACCTCACATATAAAGTATCTACAGGTAATCTCGAAAACCTATTTGTAAACAAAAAATGGGTAAAGTTTCGAGACTACCAGTAAATCAGTAATATGAGACGTATTCACCCTATTTCGTGTAAGGTAATGAAGGACTGATAGAATAATTTTCCCACAATGATATGAGTAGGGCTGACGTTTCTTTTGAATTTCACATAGCCTGGCTTTCCCAAAAGTTGTTCTAATCCATGCACCAGTGGACTGCAGCTTCGACCTCGCATCAGTCTTACCAACACCCCCAGCGTGAGACGAACCGTGACAGTGCAGAATGGGAGCTTGACACGTTAACCACTCAGCCACTTTGCCATGAGCGCCCTTGAGTCACACTTGCAAATGTGAATTTCAAGGAAGGCCAGACCTCTTTCCATATCACATTCTTTGGTGGGATTGTCGAAGCAAGCGTATTTTTGCTAGTTTTTTGTGTTTGAATAGAGTTTTGAGACTACCAGTAAATCAGTAATATGAGACGCATTTACCCTATTTTGTTTAAGGTGATGAACAATTTTTAACATTCTTTTATCACTTTAAACGAAATAGGGTGAATACGTCTCATATTAGTGATTTACCCGTAGTCTCGAAACTCTACTCAAATACGAAAAATAAGTAACGTAGTCGATTGTTATATCAAAAATACACTTGCTTCGACAATCCCACCAAAGAATGTGATATGACAAAAGGCCTGGCCTTCCTTGAAATTGGTATCTGCCCTGTGACCAAAGGGCACTCGTTAAAATGTGGTCGAATGGTTAACGTGTCAAGCTCCCATTCTGTACTGTCACAGTTCGAATCCCACTAGGGATGTTGATAAGACCGATGCAAGGTCGAAATTGCAGTCCACCTCAGCCTGGATGAGAACTACTTTTGGGAAAGCAAGACTATGTGAAATTCAATAGAAATGTCAGCTCTACTCATATCATTGTGGGAAAATTTTACAACCATTCCTTCATCACCTTAAACGGAATAGGGTGATTACGTCTTATAAAAAATGAGTAAGTTAGCCATATATTGGCAAATCGAGATGAAATATGTAGGAGTGATTGTATAAGGAATTGGATAATACAGTAAGTTTTTATTTACACAGACTGGTAAGGCTAAGAAAATAAAAACGG